CACGTCGACCGCTCCTGGAGTACGCCAACCAAGTTGTCTACTCAGGACGTACGAAAGACGTCACCCTCATTGAGCGTGTCCAGCGGGCCGCCACGAGAATGGTTGCCGGCCTCAAATCCGTGGACTCTCCTTCTCGAACCCAATTTAAAGCACTATTAGACATTTATTTACGCGAATCCTCGCGCTTGCAAGCATGCTGCCCCGCGCTGAGAATATAAAGAGCAGTGCTACGCCCTTTTTTCACTTCAGCCTTTCAGGTGAACGACAGCCACTGACCGACAAGAACAAAACCGACCCGGGAACCTTGGACAAAAGCCTCGATCCTGTGTATCAATCCGTGAATCCGCGAATCCGTGAAATTCCATTGTTCACTAATGCAGTTATAGCTGTGGCGGAAAAATTCTGGTGAAATATTTTCCTAGAACTACTAGGACCTCCGGAAGCCCCAAAAAGGATGAAAATCTGAACTGGTATACTAAACTTAAGCGCCAGGGTGTTTTAGTCCATCGTGGACACAAAATAACTTTCGAAAAATTCATTCCATTGAGCACCGGAAACTCATGCTGAAGTCAGGGTCAGTCTCCAACGCACCGTCATTTACTGAAGAATTTCTTTGTAAGGATAGAGACTGTGCATCTAACTTTTTCATAGAAACTTGGCCTATCTGATCTGGGCGTCGGAAGCACGCCCACCAAATGCGCAGAACTCACCGTTGTTTTAATGCACCAACTTACATCTTCTAACTCGGGGGCACTTTGGATCAGTTTTCGTTGTACGTGATAAGGTACGTGACATGCTAAGAGATATAGAAGTCTATGCAGTTCATCGACCTTCGTTGAGACAATATGTCACTCCAGTGAGAACAGGAAAGTGGCATACTAACGGTGGCAAATAATGTGTGTGTTAGCTACATTACTCAATGCGCTATGTTCAAATAATCCCAATTTTTCTTTGATAACTCACTCTGCAAACTGTGTAGAAATGAATCACTTTTGACAATCCACAATTATCCGTGCTTTATCTTACGTCTCCCTGTCCACATGCCTTGCGTGCGTCTAAATTAACCTCTGTGAATATCGGATCACTGAACTCGTGATAACTAATCGCGTTCAGTCCTACCAGGAGTTGTCTCCGTGATCACTTGGTGCATAAAATACCAGCCTACTTTCTGAGCTCGAATTGTGACAACTCTGGGTAAACGCCCCACCGATGGTCACGGTTGGCCAAGTGTCTCAACTCGAAAAATACTAATCCGCTTTCACTCGTTTTCAGAAGGCTTTTTTGCAACAAATAATAGATTTGGCTTGTATTCATGAAAGGAATCGGTAGTAACGACGTCGAAAACTTAGCAACATCTCTCCATTGATGGCGAAGTGTGGCAATAGGCTGTATCTGAAATGAATGCGAATAATACTGGCGAAACTGGCACTCGAATCGAGGTGCCTCTATCATTGAATGGCTTGTGCACCATTAACCACTAAGCAGTCGCCTTTCATCGCGTGCTATGGGTTCGGGAGTCCGCTTCGCTTCTTAGCCTGTTAACGAGTGATGCCATCATGAGTATAAACACGAAAAACCTCGTCTTTGTTCAGCCTTCTGCTTGTTTTGCAGAGTAGAATTTCGGTGGACAATCCTTCTAGACGTTTTTATAATGGCTGGAATTCTTCGACGCTTGTTTCACCATATCTTCTCAGGCGTGAACTTGCTGCTGACATGGACTTTGTACTCCAATTCATTTGAATCTTGGACTGAATCACGATAGCATCGTCCTCAAGACACTTACTCTTCCGACCAACAAATTCGCTGTTAAACCTTCAAAGTTCTTCCAGAATCTGCTGAGTACACTCGGCTGCAATCGAAGAACGAAGTCATCATGATCAAGCGCAAGCTTATTTTCCTGCACCAATCCTGTAATCTACAGACCAGTGATGCTTCCTTCGGCTTCCTATAAGTAACGCAGCCCATTATGGCTGATCGGCTTTGCTAACACTTGGGGGGAAATGCTGCTCCGGATGCCCAGCTTGGAGTTGGCTGCAAACGATGTCACTCTGTACAACCGCTTGATTACAGAAGACACCTGAACCGATGACTTAAATGCCAGAGTCGAGTTGGATATCATTTATATATGCCTCTCGGACGCTTTCAGCAAATTACCACAAAACATTCTTCTGAAGAGTCTGGACATCTATTGAAGCTTGTCTTGAATCGGATTTAATGTTGTCCCAAAGATTAAACAGCATTTACGTTCAGCAATGTAGCCATGTCCGACTTCCACCCAAATTACAAGGCTGTTCTGCAGCAGTGCTGTTCTTGGCACTCATTAGTGACCTTTGGGCGACTAATTTCTTCGTGTGTTGTTTACCGATCATATGAAGCTCGAAGGCAGCAAGGTCCCGAGATACATCCTCTTTAGACAATTTTTCAGTTGACAGGAACTTGTTAATTAGTGGATAAAAGTGTTGTCTATAGCTGCTCCGTTGTCGTTGCCCATTTCAAGATGAGAGTTCCGGTCGTGCAACACTACTTAATGCCGAAGTGTAGCCAACACCTCCAACAGCTTTATAGAGCTCTTGTGACTACCCCCAAAACAATGTGAAGGCAAAACACGCGGTTTTATTCCACATTGGACCTCAGTTCAAATATATGGTTCAGATGCCGAATCCTTGGCCCATGTAGGATAGTAAGCTACATGATCAATGGCAACGGAGTCCTAACAACCACGCATAATATCTATAACTTCCCATGCACCAAACGGTTTAGGTTTTCACTTCGCGGGTAATCGTTCGTCGGTTGCACCCTTTTTGTGCGTAGTCACCGTATAAAACAAAGGGAGAAAGATAAATGTAATAATACCGGATTACTTGGGAGTAGACGGAAGTGATCTGAGAGCCAGGGCGTTGTTGACATCAGGGTCAATAACCTTTCGTCTCAACCGGTAAGCGACCTTCAGCTGATTCACTTCACAGACGACTTCGTTTTTATTTTTCTGCCTTTCATAATCTTCATCACTCTTGTTTATTTACCCCAGCCGACATTAACAACCCTCAGGGTCACGGGCGCAAACCTGTCCTTCAGCACAGCTATTTTGAAGCCACTTTTCTCCTAATGCGTCTTTTGTGGATCCCCTAGCCGACAAAATCTGTCTGCAGCGAATTTGGTGTTGTATATAAAACAACTGGATTGATAATCCTGGGTCTCACACTTCAAGCCTTAGCGTAATAGGTCTATATCAAACCGTTGAATGGATAAAAGACCCAAATTTCCCCTCTTCCTATCGATACCTTTTGCACAACCTAACGGGTGTGGGTTGTGTGTTGGGTTCAGCTACTGAGTGGCTTGCCTGATATATACGGACTATTAAAGCGAACACCATCGAAAAGGAAGCGACCCTAGGGGTGGATCAAAAAAGCGGTTTTCTTACTAATAGACTACGGACAACCTCAGTTCTTTTACATAACCAGGCCAGTCATTACGGAACGTACAATGGATAACGAATTTCTTGTCCTTTGTTATGGTTGGCCAATGATTAGCCTATTTAACTTCTATAACGCCGGTCCGTCAGATTCACAGATACTTACCACCCAACCATGCACTGGTGTTGTTCTGTGGCATGGTGAGGAAACGTTTGAAAACCAGTCGCCCAGCTCTCCAAACACATCCACTGGCACCTGATCAACGGCCGATCATCACATCCGAGCTACAAATACTTAGAATCACCTGACTTCCTCTCTTTCTTGATGCACGCAGTTGGGCTTTTGATCAAACCACGAAAATGAAAGCTTGATACGCATCTGTTCCAGTGTTTGGCTTCCTTTCCGCAAAACCCAGCAAGCATCTGACACATTTCAGCATTGACTGCATTACGATAAGTGCTTTTACATGTACGGCATTTTCGAGCGAAATTCCAATGTCATTGTGTGAGCGTAAATGTTATGTCCATTCATAGCTGACAGTCTGTAGGTTTAGAGCTGAATTGCGGTTCTTAAAAGCTGTGTTTGTTTTGTAAGTGCAGCACACATGCATCATCGAGTCTGTATCACCTTGAGTAAAGATGCATTCGTCAGAACTATCATATAAATAGACGCTTGCGGTGGGCGTGAGTACGAACATTCGTGTGATCAGGTCATGAAGTATCTGCAATGTATCATCAAGCTGCCTGTCATCGAAACTCACTTCTTCCGCTTATATCATGGCACTACAGTGGTTCAGTGCAAACCAGGTCGTTTTTTTGAGGCATTAGAAAACCATTAATTAGCGAACCTATTCACGCGGCTCGTGAAGCCGTTCTGGGTTCGGACATCAGTAGCAGACCTATCGTGCGACGAATCCATTGCACAGATAACGCAACTACACCGAATTATACATTTTATACTAGTTATATTGGAGTTCCCATTTTCCTGCAACCCTTTGAACAAAGGAAGCAATGAAGGATCACCGTGAATGACGTATCCTACCACTTATAAAACCACAATTTTTTGGTCCGTACATATGTACCGTTGGACTTTGTCTTCGCTGATAGACGGAATTGTAGTCTTCTAAACCACCATACACTTATTATGTTGTCTACTAGTATGGAACCAAACCGAACTGAGTATTGCTGCTGATGAAAAGATGTGCATTTTTCACCTGGACTGGTCATCCGCACTGTACTGGGACGGAGTTATTCGCTACTGCGACTGTACATGTTTGATGTTGGTGACAGAAACTTGACAAGTCCATTTTTCTTCTGTATCTGAAAGGGTTTCTCTCTCCATCTAACGTTGGTGAATGCAGGATACAAAACAAGTCAGTATGTCCGGTGTTGCTTTACTGTTGTGCAACATAAATACTACGAGTCAGGCACAAAAGTCTACTTGTCTGTCACCAACAACGCCCTCGAAACATTGCGCGCGCATCCAAGGAACATTGGATTGGCAATTGGCTTCTTGCTATTAAACAGCTGCTCGCCGGATTGCTGAGTTGATCTATCTGAACTACGCTGGCTTGGACATGTGCTCCCTATGCTAAGTGACAGATCGCCTTTCTATACCCTGTTTTCTGAAGCAGGTTTTGACTGGAAGATATCACAAGGTAAACAATGTACGGCCCAAAGACCGAGCATGAAAAGCACATCAATGGGTCTTGGGTACGTGGATGTATGTAGTGTGTGAGATTTTGGTATTCATGACCCACTACCTCAATGGTTGAAGGTTCATTCCGACAGGGCTTCTAACCAACCATTGGCGATTCTACGTTCATTCGCCTGCTTTTCTCTCTTAACCTGCGACGAGCCAAACCACCGTACATATGCACACAGTACTAAACGCTCTTACAAGCCATTTAGGCGTAGCGCTTAGCATGCCAAAACATGACACCGTAAAGCAAGTATAAGTCTACCATCCTACAGAAGCAGTGCTTATAATTTCATCGACATTTTTCTTAGTTTGAGTGTCTTATTTTCAGACAATCCAACAGCCATGGATCAACGTCGGTGAGTCTCTATTTATTTACTTTGTATATCACAGTATATTTGTTTTGTGCTTGTACACGTTCCTTGTCGGTATGTGTACATTTTTCTGTACCTGGTGTGCGTTTATGCTCCTCCTTTAGCCTGACAAACTGGTGAGTGCTGTTCTCTGTGCAGAGGAAAATTTGATGGCTGGTGAAGTTTCTGTCTCAAATATTCAACCCTCCACAAAAAACGGTGTGCATTCCAATGTGTAACCAATCGAGTCCAACCTGATGAAAAATTAACTCCTACATTCTCTATGGGCTTGTTAAAAACTCCCAACACTACCAAGTCCATAGATCTGATCACGCAGCTAAATTGAACCTGGCATTGTCCAATTGATCCCTGCTTTTTAGTGCTTCCTGGTCTATGCTTATGGTGAGAAACATAACCACCCAGCTCCAAATAATTGCATGCATACTTTGTAAAACGGAGCTCCCGTTTCGTCATTTCTTCGTATAGTTATTGGATAAGGTTTCATCTTTAATCGCACAGCAGATGTTGGAAGTCTCAAAGACGCCTAGGGCTTGTGTTTTATTACGTCTTTTGGTGCCCGTAGAAAGGAGGAAAACATGGTGAAACTTGACATAATTACCATAGTTCCCACAATCACGAACCGGTATTCTAACGGGGTTTTAAATTTTTAGTGTGATTCTCCGAGCTTAATTTTATATCATTGTGTTGGTTTCTTTGGCGGCGGACAGCCTCCCTTTAAAACACGTTTCTTTCTTCAAATGGCTGTGGCGGAAAATGTCGCTGTGTTACTTATCTTGAAATGTATTAAGGTAGGCTTTTTCCTTGTATGTTATAGAATTATGATTTCGTAGCTGGAATAGCTAAAATGAGATGGGGTAGACTCGTCGACCCAGATTTTTCATTTTGCGCTGAGTGATTTTCATCAATCTTTGGTTTCAACTTAAAATCCAAACGTCTTTTCAGGCTTAAGTATCCATCACGGAATTTGCACATTATGTGGAACAAACACAAGTGTCCATGTGTTCAGAATGCTGCCCTGATTCATGATTTGTCGTGTATGTCTTAAAGGAACAGTCGTGAAATTAAGGTGTTCATTTGATACTTGTGAACATCCAACTCACTGGAGCCCGATGAAAACCCGCACTGATTGAAGTACCAATGTCCATTTATGCACCAACCAGTTGCAACTCCAGTTCACTGAAAATCACCCATGGAGAACTTGCACGCCTTTTGTTCACTACAAAGGGCTTGGATATAGCCATATTAACAAGAGGCAGCATTGAAAATGTAACACGCCTTGGTTCATCAGAAGTACGCCTTGGTGGTATGTTTGGCCTGAACGCATAACGCATTGTTAATGGCGAAGTTCTTTTGTAATTCAATTGCTGAGCAATACTGGGCTTAGTAGTAGTGACAGTTGAACTGTCAACCAGTCAGAAGATTCCAATAAAATCTAAATGACCTTCAAAATACGTGTTTTCTCAAAGAACTCAGCAATATGAGAAATTGGCACTCAGAGCTAGATGTTGAAATCTAATAATTTAATAGAAAATCGCAACGTTGACGTCAATCAACATTTAAGAGCAGTCCCATCTGAACTTATTGGCCGATGTTCATCAACCAGGTGGCGTGCAATATACTCTGGTCAGCCTTCATGAAGCCATAGTTGCTGAGCTTGCATGAGTGTTTGATCCTTTCAGTACCTTGTGATCAAAGGCGATGTTTAACTTTCGGTTCATTCTGTAGGCCTAGTTAACTGGGCCTGCGGTTGAATGAAGCGACCGAGACAGTCTTGGAACTGCCCAACAAAGCGCAGGCGAAGTCATTTCCATGTGACTCTACCCTGTTCTTTTCAGAGTAAAATGATTGTAGATGACAAGAACACGGTTGGAAAGGGCACCTTCGCAACAAGCATTAGTACTGAACTTTAGATGACTCAGTGGTTAGGGCGAGGACTCACTGACCGGAAAGTCCATAATTCGAATCCATCTTGACCCCCCTCCCCCGTTAAGGCTTGGACAACCTGGAAATATCTCAGCCCTCGTGTTTTTGGTGGCATGGCAGCTAGGCACGTGGAGAATGTTTCAGCTGATCAATTATCGCTCTCATTAAGCTCTCGGTAAACAACAATACAGGACGAACCTTTGTATCTTCCTTAAAGTCCTCGAGCGTATTGAACGAAGTAAATAACGGAGGCATTCTGCTACACCTTACGCTCCTGGTTCTGATAAGAATACACACATCCTTCACTCAGCGCTGCACAGCTCCATCATGCATATTTCTCAGTGACAGTCGATTTGCGAGCTACCAAAAAAATTGACCATACTTGTCTGTTTGCTTCCCCTGTTCCATCTACCGGGCTAAGCAGCCCGAGAGGAACCAAACCATTGTTGGAGCCTGGCAGTAATGTGTTTAGTCCGATTAGAATGCGCCACGGGCACTCATTCTGATTTTTGTTTGCATGTCGACAACATTTTCTATTCTGAGGCACTGTTTCTAATACAGCAGGAACTGCAGGATATTGACATGAGTGCCAAGAAGATCAGGGTCGTTGTACACTAATCAATTCGTAAAATTGCCACACAACACGGGTTAGTTGTACCACTGAGTTTGCCAATTTAGCTTTAACGTCTAACTGGTGAGTCTCTCCTCTGAACCGTTTGTCTTTGGACCGGTGAAAAATGCCTTAAAAATTGGTGTCACTAATATAGACACTCCTTTCTCAAAAGTCAAGACCACATCTACATCCCGAAGCCTTAGTTCCAGTGAACGATGCACTGAATTAAAGTCTATCTGTGACGACACCACACTTCATCTTGATTAACCGAGTGAATTTTACTTCACTCCGTACTGTTACAAAGCAGTTTATGCGGAGCTGGTGTACAACCCCGGGGGTATCTTACTACCTAGAGTGTACCCAGTGAAATGCGACTGATAAGTGAGTACAAAAAGGTAGCTCTAAAGCCGTTCGTGTGCACCATTGATGGCTTTGAACTAATGTGAAGACGAGTAAACACTTATGGCTTACGGAATGTGTAGACTGCTGGCGCCGAAGCTCTCATTCCTAATCGTCGTTCAGCTATAGTACCCTTCCGATGCCTAACTGCCATGTCACCTGAAAGAAGCACGAGGGCTTGTATACTGCCAGGTTGCCCAAGCCTAGACAGGAGAAATCGAGAGGCGGAGGTGGGGTTCGAAACCCCCGGACCTTCTGGTCAGAAAATTCGCGCTCGAACCATTCGAGTCACCTCAGTTACGGTCGAAGCACACTCTTACGGCTGGATCATGTCAGACAATAATAAGTTTGAACAATGCTTGCAGTCACATGATGGTACATCACCCTATTGATTAGCAAACTATTGTAAGCGCAAGTTGCGTAAAAACCCCAACTGTTCTTGTCACAACAAACATCTCCACTGGCTACTAAGATCAGTCGCTTAGGTCGTGGTCCAAACTCCTAAACATCACTAGTTCACCATATGGTTGGACACTGATACAAAAGTATGTAAGAAAATACCTGGGACAAGGTCTGGATGTGAGAAACGGGTATATCCGTTTGTCTTAACTTGCCTTACTTCTTGCCTAACATCCCCACCTTAATGGTTCATTCTCCACTATAGAAGTATTTTTGGTGGAAAGGCGCAGAAAAGCAATCTGTTAGTGTACATGTCAGTCATATTCAATAGGGAGCCTCTACAAACCAATCCATTGGACTCAAATGTCCCGTGAGAATTTTTGCACTTGGCTGATGCATTCCCTTAGCACATTGACATGAATGGTCGTTTGGTTTGTCTTCTTCGGAATGTGGATAACAAAGACCCAAGACAACGAGCGTCACTCATTAGTTATCAGGTTCCTACAACAAAGCGTCCCTACTGATGTAAAACCGTTGAATTATGGTGATGATGCATTGTCCAGTACCCTCTTAATATGGGTCATTTCGTAGAGTGCCTACTTACATGGAGAGCTACAGATATTCTTATTCACCTTTATATGGATCTCAACCTCTAGAGTAATAACCACGTATCTGTATAAAAAAATCCACTTTTTTCTCTGGCGAGTGATTTTACCCAGAAAGAAATGCTGTAGATGTGGGTACGTATCACAAAAATAATCTAGTTGAATTTTTTAGGTGCCCACTGCGCCAGCAGTTTTGGGAGTTGGCAGCTGAAGAAACTTGAGTGAAGTCATATGCAGTTGCACAGTAAATGATAGTGTACTATTTTGAGAAAATTAATGCTATTCAAATTGTTTTTTTTCGGTCAGTTTAGGCAATATCCTTATAGGGTCGGTCTATTACCGGTATCAACCTTCAAGTGAACTGCTTACGATCTGTGATTTGCTGGATCTATTAGTCGCGTGATTCTACAAAGCCTAATGTCAAGCCATCATGAACATTCTCAAAAAAACTGACTTGGTTTAGACGTATGTTTGAACGGCTACTCACTCACTGATCGGCATTACAAAAAATCCACGCAGTATTTCCCATCCGTTGTGATGTACTGATCCACGTGACTTTCATCAATCGCAAATCCAGCAGCAGTTCGTTATAGATTTTTCCATTTTGAAACATGACCTTGCAATTCAGCGTGCACATCAAATCAGCCGTACATACTGTTCATAAATTTATCATGAGTGGTCCAGGGGAAAGCAGAGGTAGCCTGTCCAGTGCCCGCCAGTTCGACCCCGATGAAAGGTAAGCCACACAGTCGGTCACGCTCTCTCCCCTACACACAGTGATTCGTTATTTCCTGGGGAAGAGTATTTCTTCTCTCTCCAAACTCTGCCGCTAATTTCTGGCTGACAGGACTTGTTCGAAGGCTTCAGCCTTGAATTGCGATGAAGACAGTAAAAATTGTGACCTCAGCTTCCTGAATGTAAAGGGTAATATTCGAGTGTGCGTGAGGTAGAACTTTCAGCTGGCTTACCGCCTTCGTCTAGCTAAACGTGAGTCACAAGATGACCTCCCTAAAATGTACCTCGAATTTAGTTGAATAATCTGTCCTCTACAGATAAACCTCTTCCTATATTTCAGTGTGTTCATCGTTAGTCTACTTTTCCAAGTGATGCGATTTCTGTAAGATTGTGCGGAACAAGATTCGGGGGTGCCCATTCGCGGTGTCCGGTATGGGTATACAAGAAGGCACCGACGCAAAACGCAGGAGATCTCCTGAGTCTTCCAGTCCCTCGGTCAACGAGGCCGAAAGTTGCTTAACCGGATCTCCTGATAAGACTTCATCTCCAGGTACATTCAGCCCGTTCTATCAAAACCAACTGTCAGGCTACCACAAAATGTGAAAACCGGAGAGTAATGTAATGACAAACGATCACTCTGTTTTTACGTCTGATTGCGTGAATAATCAACTTGTTTGTCCCATATGCGGCCTTATTAACAACCAGTCCCTGCTTGGATCAGTTGACAGGCAATCACTTAATTAGTTTGATAGGAATTCTATTAGCACGAAGCCTACAGTATAAGTGACTTACTAATGGAAGCACCCCAAAGGTGGGCTGATATACTGCCTGATCGGCCAGGCTTAGACAGGAGCAATCGAAAAGCCAGGGTTAGGTTTAAACCGTATCTCTCAGTTGTAGTTTATCGCCATAATATCTGGGCCATCTTTAGTTCGAACCTCTTATGTCGGTTGCTCCACCATCGACAGTTATCCCAAGGAACGTTTAAGCCGTGAGGATCACTCTTGATTTGGGTTCATTTCTGGCTTATTTAAGCCGGCAATCGACTTCCGAAAATTTAGGCAGATCATGAAATTAACTTCTGCCTCGTGGGGCTACTTTAATGAAGGCAGTGGAGACTTTGGTGTCGACTCCAAAATTGAGACACATTTGTTTGAGCTTAATTTTTACTCTGATGCAGTCCAAAGTATTTACAACCTTTTATATAGCAGTTGATTTTCCCTAGGATTTGAGCTTTACGGCTCAATACTTGCTGCAAGGGGGATAGTAAAGTAGGTATTTATGTATTCGTGTACGGTATTGTACTCTGGTCTCATGAGTATACTGAACTTGATCCATAGGTATAAACTGTATGTATGGCACGTTTGATCCATAAACACCAGAACTCTTCTCGTTAGGAAAGGATAAAACGTCACCTCTAGCTGAACTCAGGTTTCCTACCGCAACTTGCCAATTCATTTCTTGGATCCACATACAGTGGGGCCTGAAAGTATGGATTTATGCACACCACGTTTCCTCATTGTCTAAATAGTCATCTGATCCAGGATTGCATCTTCAGTCCGCTGCATCCACTCTGTGCCACGTGACTAATCCGCAGTCGATGGTGCTGTGGACTCCATAACCCCTGCCGCTGGTCATTTAACACCCTCATTATGTTGCAACCCTGAGGGTTTCTGGATTCTAGGCTAGTACACCATGTGTTAAATAGACCAGACCGATAGACAGCACCGTACCTTTCATTAAAGAACGACGACCATTATAGGGTCAGTCAGAGTATGATCTATCTTGAGTACATAAGCCTTGGTTTTCGCTGCTGAGTATCCTCACTTGAGATGAAGGAAACCCATTCTGAACTAGGATTTGTTTTGTCGTTTTTTAGCAGTCTAAGGGATGTGTGTTAGACAGCCTCATTTGAACACTGGAGGGTCTGCATTCTTTTGCCTTAAACTCAATCTTGCAAATTGTGCAAATGAGAGTATTTGTAAAAATCTGTTCAATTTGGGTTCATATAAGACATGAGGCTGAGACAATCCCAGGGACTATGATTAATTGATGAGCCCCAAGAAGGGCGATATCGGCCGTGGACTGTCGAAGAGTTTTCAGCAACCTTGTGAGTAGCGTGTTACGTTTACTTACACACGCCAGAATGTTTTTTTTTCAGCGTAACGAGTTTGCTCTCATTTGGTTTTTTAGAACTTTTTGACGTACCTCTAAACCTGAACGGCGTTGGTTTTCGTTGTGCTAGAGAGATGTGGGTACAGTGGACAATGTGACGTCAGCGGGACAGTCACAAACGCTACTGGTCCATTGAGGTTGTCCAGCGTATTGATCGATTGGATGACTAATAGAAACGCGTAAGTCATATGTACGAACGAAAACAGTCGTTCGATCGGACTATCACACAAAATCATCGTGCACCGTGCAGGAATATCTTTAGCTGTGGTCAGGTGTGCCGAAAACTAGACTGGCCTAATTTGTCCGAATGGCCCATAGTGAGTAATGTCCGAACCCAACTGCGGTCGTTCCTATGTAAACTGAGACCAAACTTGTAGATTTGTTTCACTTTATGGAATGTGCACTTCCGGAAGGAAGTCTTTGGCATTCATACGATCACTGGGCTACTTCAGTTGTTAAACCGCGTGTGTTCGGTGGGTTGGGGTTTCAACTACCATAAAACTGATTAGTCGAATACGTGGCCTAGTTTCCGTATAAGCCGGTTGCTTTGTTTGGTCAAAACAAATGTGTTCACCGCTCAGCTCCCGTAGGGTACCTCTAGGTTATTCAGACGGTTATCGACGTCAAGTAGATCACACATTTGTATACCGAGAAAATTCAATCGACATTTCGAGTGAAATGTTCATCCATCACATTTTTAGACGAACGTATGGCGCAAGTACGGAGTCCCATTTTCTCGGACGGGATATGACAGGGTGTGAACTTTTGTGATGTTGAGTTCAGTAATCAATTCTTAGGTTGACTAGTAAGATTTTTTCGAAAAGGCAACTTTAGTGGGGTTTCTAGAATTCCCTTCATTACCCGGTGACACCAAAAGTAGGCCTCTGGGTGGGACTACTGTACTTCTAACCTTTATCAAGGCGTTTCTGACTTGTTCACAGTGTTTCGACCACGCCCTCTCATCTTTGTCTACTCAGCATTTAGTCTCAGTAGTTCTGGCGGTTTCCGTAACAGCCAGGTCCAAATGGCACTCAAACCCTTTTGAGCAAAGCAAACAGAATTAAACTTTTATTATGGTGACCCGTTTTCCCTAACCTCCCCTGATCTCTCATTCAATTTACCACAACATGAATCATCACGCTAGCTGCCTGCTGAATTTACGATTGATTTCGGCTTTGTACAAACGAAACACCTAAACCGTAATGTTGGGTGCTGAAAAAAAATGCGACCGACTATCGAGGCCAGCCCAAGCTAAGCGAAGAAATCAGCATACCACAGTACTAAATCGCACCATTTTCGTCTAATTCCACCTCGTTTCGTGAAGCATCTTGGCCCGGGTAGCGTTGAAGTGGGAAGAGCGTT